TTTTTTGGTTTTTCGAGACAGGGTTTCTCTGTGTAGCTTTGCGCCTTTCCTGGGACTCACTTGGTAGCCCAGGCTGGCCTCGAACTCGCAGAGATCCGCCTGCCTCTGCCTCCCGAGTGCTGGGATTAAAGGCGTGCGCCACCACCGCCCGGCCCCAAAGGTGTTTTGAGATAGTTCAGGTGGGTCTACTCTCATTGTCTTCCTGCCGTGCTTGAGGCATAAGCTGAAGGTTTTACAAGCAGCGATGCCATACTGAATCTGACCCTGTGCTAATGCCCAAGTGATCTTATTTTCTTCTGCTCTCTTGATCACTCCGCTTTGGCTACATAGGCCGCGTGGTGTTTTCTAAAACAGGCTAATACTCCCTCACTTTATAACATTTGTATAATTTACTATACCTCCTCCTTTGCCCCCTCTTGGCAGACTCCCTCCCTCTCTCTTAAGCAGTCATTCAGTGGTCACCTTCTAAAATCATGTAACTTTGTATTTGGGGAACAGAGTTCTGGGCCCTTATCCATGCTAGGCGAGTGTGCTACCACTGAGCTACGTTTCCAGACACAACATGCAAGTCACAAGTCAAAGCTATGTTCATACTACGATTCCCTTTGTTAACATGTAAGTTCCACATTGGTAGCGATTTTTGTCTGATTTGTCTATGATCCCAAACAATCAGATCAGTGCCTCATTCATAGGATGTGCATTGGGTTGAAATGTGTTCTCGCCTTACACAGAATCTTTAAAGAAGTGATTATTTTAAAATCATGTTATTAGGGTGAGCTCTAATCCAAAGAGGCTGATCTCTTTCTTAAAAAATTAAAATGTCAGAGACCCTTGGGGGTGTTTGCACAGAATTGCGGCCTCTGGAGGAGGAACAAAGATGGCAGACAACCCCAGGCCACTTTGGACCCAGAGTACAACCAGACCTATCCAAACCTGTATACTCCTAGCCTCCAGAACTTCCAGAAAAAAATCAATTAATTGCTCTCCAATCCCATGGTGTCTTGTTATGACAGTTCTAGCAAACTGAGACAGCACATTCAGTGAATAAAAATAAATTAATATTTTCTGAACCACAGATTATTGAAGCAGCACAATTTGGTATATTTTAAAATGTGATAAATTACCAAGAAGCTCAAGAGAAAAATAGTCAAATAAATGATTTCGGAATATGGAATGTTCTACCCACCCACTATTTGTATTTGAAATTATTTCCTTGTCTTTATATACATAAACACTACATCATCAACTCTAATGATCACTTTTGAGGAACCAAAAATATCTGAATTATGCCACCTCCGTAGACACCTCCCAATAGTGTGAATTTTCTGTGATACGGAGACTGTGTTTTCTTTTAAGTTACTTTGAACTAAAGGAAAAAATAGTATATCAGAGGATGACCCGATGTAGTGTATTCTGAAATTGCCTAATGAATATCATCTTCCAGAAGTACATTTGGGTCTGGTAAGCTTGGTTTCAGCAAGTTTCATACAGTTTTGACTTGATTAGTACTCCTGAGAGGGAAAGACTGCAAACCTTCCTTCACATAGATTACAGTCTTCCAGATGCCTAGAACCCCACCAAAAATGCACAGCACACTACAGCTGGCACGAGGAGGGGATTGTATTTATGGTATGGGATATGGTTATCTCCCCCTATCTTGCACAATCTATATGCCAAAATATAGGAGACTTATCACTGGCCCTTTCTTACACCTTATTCCCAATCAGAGTTCGTTACTGATTTTGAATAACCTTGAATCAGCTTATCTGTATCTTCCCCCATAGAGGAAGCATTCATTTGCTTTCTCACAAATATGAGTTCACACTTGTCCATCACCATGTTTAGCTGTAAATCTGGACAGAACTTGCCTGTAGGCTTAAACGGTAGTTCATGCCAGAACTAATATGCTAGCCAATTTGCTCATTGGTGAGGTGTGAACTCACTGGACTCTTCTCTAGGTCTCTCCTTCACATGAATAAATAAGCAAACTGCTAAAGACAAATGGAACTGTGTCTTATTCAAAATGTTTTCTGCATCTGCTAATGAAAAATTCTGGCAAAACCAGTCCTATTGGGTTTGTTGTTCTCTGATGTTAAAAACGGCAGAGCACTATGCCTGAGATGATGCATCATGGGACCTGCAGACTCTGAGCCCAAGGGATCAAATATGAAGTCAGTGATGGCAGCTCCTGAGTGTTAGCTGGGCGCCAGGCCTACAAGCATATGAGCGTGGAGATTTTTAATTAATGTCAACAATTACTGAATCTAAATGTAGGGAGGAAATAAAGGTGAATTAAGTGATCTGTTCTCTGAAAGAAACCAAGTCCTGCAGCTGGTCTATGAGTGGCGTGGGATCATCAATAATCAAAGATGGAAATGCTTTCAGTGCAAAATCTCAAAAAAAAAAAAACAAGAAAAGAGAGGATGGATAAAAGAAAACAAGCAGGAAAATAGATTAGTTCTATCTCCAAATGATTCATAAATGCAGCCTTACCTCTGAGGACTGACTACCCATGCCAACAAGAAAAAAGGAGGAATACAAAAAAAAAAAAAAAAAAAACAATAACAACAAAACATCAAAGATTCTTTTGATTACATTTTCTAAAACATACTGCTCTTCTATAGTGTTTTCTTTGAAGTACCCGTGGTGAAGTGGGTCTGAGCAGATACCTGCAATCTGCTCCATGCTTTTTAGTTATTCTGGGTTTTATTTCTGCTGCACTTGGCTGCACTGTTATCCCTCCAGGTTAATACCTCACTGTCAAGGATAGTGCCTCATAGGGAAGTTCAGCCATTTCTTTAGAAGCTCTTTCCGATCCTACCACTCACTGTCAAAAATTCTGGCATCTTCTATTGGTTTTTCATTCCCTTTTATGTATCATCTTTTATTGTTTTTTCTTCTTTCTTGGTTTTCCCTCTCTCCTCCTGCTGTTCTTATTATCTTTAGTCCCACAGGTTCCCAGCTGCAGTCTTCTTTGTCTTCTCTGTTTGACTGGCAGCTTCTTTGACTCCCTTTTGGTATCTCCAGGATTCTCCTTTTGCATTTGCTGTTCCTCTAATCAATGTCATTTTGATTTAAAGCTACAGTGTTCTTCGGTCTGTCCTGTCCGCTGTTTGCCTCCTTTGGGCTGGAAGGTTGAACAACCTTTTGCTTTAACAGAGACCTAGGGTGCAGCCATCTATCTGCTTGCCGATGATTTCATGTACTTAGGATGTCAGGGGACAGAAAGACACTAAGTTAACAATATTTATCTTAAAAGTCCAAATGAAATTGCTATCATTCTCTACAGATTGTCTGTCGTCGCTGGTAATATCTGACAAGGGGGAAATTGAGATTAAATAAATCTTACTGTCATTAAAGTAAACTTCAAAGAATTCATAGGAAAAGTAGGTCTGCCATTTTCCCCAAAGTTCTAAAAAATAAAATATGCGTGCAAATAAATATACTTGTTACTTCCATAAACAAGTGAGTTTCCACCCATATGTCTGTATGTAATTGGTATGATTGAGAATTCTGTACAAACGCACAAGTAGCATAAAAAAGTGACTTAATTCTCAAAACTATAAAACAGCACTATTTTGTTCTTTCATACACAAATTGTTGAGATATTTTATTAATTTGGTCTTTCTCTCATTTAATTCTTTAGTGTTTTGATATTTATGCTGTAATTTACTTCAGAATATCTGGGTGCTTTTTTTTTTCAGTTAGTATTCACTCAAACTATAATTACTTACTTGTCATTGATCATTGCTCTTACTCTTAGCTTTTTAAATTCCCCCTCTGGCCCTGAAATGCTCAGGGGGCATCTCTTACTCACAGCCCCCAAAAGTAAGAGCCAACAGAATGGGAGACTGCCTTTGGGACTAGCCTTGGTGGTGAGGAAGGATCTCAATCTTGATCCAGGTTAGGTCCTTCACTTCAGTTGACTCCTCATGGTGATTCTGCTCCATTTTCTTTTTATGGCATATGTCTGATAACCCAAGAAAACGCCTCATAAGCCAGAAGTATGGCTCCTCTACACACTTCATCCCTACGAATTCGGAATGTCAAGGGTCAACTGAGATCCTCCCTTCTTCACTCTCTGAGCATCATGCTCAGCACTCCTGCTGATTTCTCTGCAGGAGACCTCAGGTAAGCCTCTAGGTTTGAGACAAGAAACCCTAGTCTCTATGTTTAAGTATCAAAAAGCCTCATGACACTGCCAGGACAAAATCAAAATGCAGGACTCAACTGTTGAAAACTCCTTCAGAAGCCAGGCGGTGGTGGCGCATGCTTTTAATCCCAACACTCCGGGGGCAGAGGCAGGCGGATCTCTGTGAGTTCGAGGCCAGCCTGGGCTACAGAGTAAGTTCCAGGAGAGGCTCCGAAGCTACACGGAGAAACCCAGTCTGGAAAAACCAAAAAAATAAAAATAAAAATAAAAGAAAAAAGAAAAAGAAAACTCATTCAGCACTTTATGACAACTACCACAAAGTGTTAAGCAACAATCAAGAGTGCAGGGACCTGAATGGCTGCACAGATCATACAAAGTGTTAAGCAACACTTACGAATGCAGAGATCCACCTGGCCCCACCCACCTGGGCCCATCCACCCGGCCCCACAGGTGATCATCCAATGCAGGTGGCATTGTTAGCTTTTTGGTTGGTACGAACCAAGTGTCTGCACATTCCAAAGGGTTAAAACAGTGGTCACTACTATGTTGATTTCCACAGAGAAAGAGGTATAAAGAAGGCTTAAAATGGTTCAAGATAATTTGTCTCTGTACTTGCAGCATTCAAAACTTTCCCCAGACATTCAAGTTCTAATGAGTCCAGCCTTTCAGAAGCTTTAGTGGAAAGTCTGTTCTCTCCAGGAACTTTCATCCATAGTGTACATGTATCAAATGTGACTCCTAGCTGAATAAATTTTAAAGTGGACCAAACAGAACCATCTATGTGTCCATTATGATTGTTGTATAGAAAAATGCTTAAGGCAATCCTGCGGTAGGGGGTGCTAGATTTCCAGGATGAGACACCGAAGGGGGACTAGAGAGATCACTTGGCAGTTAATAGCTCTCTCTGCTCTTCCAGAGGACCTGATTTGAATTCTCAGCACCTATATCTGTTGACTCAGAGCTTCTTGCAACTCCCATTGTAAGAGATCTGACAGTCTCTTCTGACCTCATATGCATGGCATACATTCACATAGATTTACACATATACACATAAATACACCTTTCAAAGAAAAATGTAAAAGGGTATGAGTGGCCATAAAAGCATAGGAAAGTTTTCATCAGCATGATGACCCTGACCAAGACAAGACCAAAAGTTATTCATCCTCAGATGTAGGGGAGAACGGCAGCAGTAATGTAGCACATGTTATTAGGGCTTCCCTCTCTAAGTTGCATAAATAAACCAATGCTTCATCTAAGGACCAGCACCAGATCAAGGATCTGACCTTTCCTAATTCTGCAACATTTTACAGGCTTCTTTCCATGAATTAAGAGTCTGCCATAAGGGAGAAAGGAATGACTGTATCTCAGATACTTATAAAGACTTTTTTTTTTTGTTTTCCAAAAGCAGTACCTTAAAGTAGCCCTGCAAGTTAAATTTTAAATGAGATAAATATTTAAATGAGTAAAAAAATATTTAAATGAGCATAGGACATACTTCCTAAGTATAGGTGTATTTGACTAAAGAACTCAGCATGTTTGGGTACCAAGATATGAGTGTTATAGCAGCAATAAATGCCCATTAATAAAAAAAATGGTCAAGAATTTCTGATTTGGGTGGAGATTCAACAGGTAACCAAGATCCATGATTTGACTATGGAACCACTTCTCAGGAAGGCAGTTTTACCTTAAAGCATTGTGCTGGTTAGTTTTGTTTGTTTGTTTGTTTTCCTGTCAATTTGACAAAAGCTAGGGTCTTCTGTGAAGAGAGAACATTAACTAGGAAAATGGTTCTACAAGCTTGGCCTACAGGCAAGTCTGTGGGGCATTTTCTTATTTAATGATTGATGGGAGAGTGCCTAGCCCACTGTGCTTGGTACCTCCCTTGGGCAGGTGGCCCTGGGTGGTATGCAAAAGCAGGCTGAGCATGGGGAGAAAGCATGGGGAGCAAGCCCTAAATGGCATTCCTCCACAGTCTCTGCATTACTTCTTGTCTCCAGTTTCTGCCCTGACTTCCCTTCCTGATGGACAGTAATTTGTAAACTAAAATAGTCCCTTTCTTCCCCAAGGCGCTTTTGGTCATATTCTTTTTTTTTTTTTTTTAATCGCAGCAATAGTAAACAAACTAGAACAGTCACGATTAAGGAACAGTTAAGTAAAATAATTAGTCCTTAAATGAGATACTGCATTTTTCCTTCCCAGACTTCCCAACATCTAGTAGTTACTAGATGCCAAGACACTTTGAGGTCTGGCTTGGATGACTAATGATTTTTCCTTGCTGTTTGTTTGGTTTACCCCTGGAGTGTTCATTCTGATGTGGGCAGGAACTTAAGTATGCTTTTTCTGGTACTTCGGTCTTCCTTATTCTCTCTTGGGGCTTCTTCTCTGCTGTGTGGTTGCCTGCTGCCATGTGACAGACTTTCATGCCAGTGACTCAAGAAGTGCATCTTTTTTTTTGTCCTTCCTTTGTTAGTCTTTTTGGGTATTCATCCATCCTGCTGAGAGTTACAACTTCATCTCCTCCATCTCTTTTTGTTTGTTTGTTATTTTAAACTTTAAAAAGTTATCCTTAAGCTTCCATTTAAACCTGTTCTAAAATTATTTAATTTGCAAGATAGTTTCATCAGAATACTTGTGAAAAGGATATCCCAAAGAGACAAGAGCAAGGTCTAAGAGCCCTAAGATTGGGGAATTGACTGAAAGATGCTGAACATAAAATTAGATAAATCCAATAGGATCATAGACCATATGACAACATTGGATTTAATTCAAGTAAGAATGCAGAAAAGGGAGTATGCAGTCCACGTGGTGATGCAGGTTGACCTTAAATACTAGAGAATGAGCAAGCAAAGAAGCTGAGGAATTGTTCAGGGAAATACTGAGAAAATCCAAATGAGGGATGGTGGCAACCTGCACCAGTGGAGTTATGATGGAGGAACAAGAATTGTCACTTGAAAGTTTTAAACTGGAGATCACACATTGAAGTAACTACAAATACAAGAAGTCTGGAAACATCAGCTTACAGGTGGTCTTCAAAACCATCAGAGTGCATGAATGCATCAAGGAAGTAAGTATAAAGAGAAAAAGAAAGCTCAGAATTGAGCCTTTGAAGAATTTTCCAGCAAAAGGCTTGGGATGTAAAGAGAAAACAGAGAAGACACGAGCAAAGAGTCCAGGAAAGTGGGAAGAAAGTCAAGTGCTAGACAATGTCTTAGAACTCAGATTAAAATGAAGAGAACTCTATCAGAAGAGAACCTGTGGTGCTGAGAGATATTGTAAGATAAAGGACGCTCTTGGTAAACTTATCAAGAATGGCTGAAGTCTTTAAGGCAAATGCCCAGGCTCCAGGGGATCCAAAAGGTGGGGTTTGGCCACTGATCCCCAATATGCCAATTAAAAAGAGAAGCAATGGTGAAAAGTGAAAAAGAGGTGTATTCATTGTGGCTATATTGGAAAGAGGAACACATAAAAGGTTCTAGTGATCTCAGGTCTGCCTTCTGGTTACTAAGTTGAGGTTTAGATTAAAATACAGAGCAAGGTGTGCCTAATTACAAGTCCTGGCCAATGTGCTTTGTCTGAACTCTTCAGCAAGTTACAATGTCCTGCTAATGTGATGATTTCATAAATTATTGGTCACTGGGGGCTTAGAGGACAGCTTTGCTCTCAATACAAGTCCTTATCTGAATGGTATTCAGTACTCAAAGGTGCTAACATTGCTGGAATTTAAGGTGATCCAGGGAAAAGGTTAAGGGTAATAAGTTACCTTACTGCTTCATCAATGTACAGATCCAAAATGAAGGCAGCGGTGCCAGGCTTTCATCCTGCTTTCAGACCTTGTGTGTCTAAGTGAGAAGTCAATGCTTTTAGCAAAAGTGGCTTTCTAAGTGTCTGTTTCAAGATCAGTAGCACTGCAAGGATGGAGGAGCTTGATTAGAGGGGGATTCAGGAGGAATGCTGGAGGAGAATTGGAAATGATGAGTATAAACTAGTGAAGATATTTTGTTACAAAGTACAGGAAATTTTCTACAGAGAATACAGAAATGAAGCAACGATTAGATATCTGGAATTGAGAAAGATATTTATCTTCAAGATCAGAGAAATGGTAATATTATGGATAATGAAATGGAAGATTTTATGAAATAATATTGTCTTCATTATGGTTTCTATTGCAGTGGCAAAACACTGTGACCAAAAGCAACTTGGGGAGGGAAGGGTTTACTTTAGTTTTAGTTACAAAACTCATTCCTGAAGGAAGGCAGAAACTGAAGCAGAGACCATGAAGGAGTGCTGCTTACTGGCGTACTCCTCACAGCTTCCCCAGCCTGCTGTCTTACACAAATCACAACAACCTAGGTAGGGGTGGCATGGTCCACAGTGAGCTGTGCCCCACCACATCAGTTTATCCAGAAAATGCTCCTCAGGCTTGAACACAGGTCAATCTCAAGGAAACATTTTCTCAATTGAGATTTCCTTTACTAAAATAAGTCTACCTTGTGACAAGTTGACAAAAAATGAACAAGTAAACTAATAAAACAAGCAACAAGCAATCCTCAACCACAACTACAAAAAAAGCACATGATTGGCGTAGAGGAGAATTGCTGGAGATGACAAGAAGAGGTGGAATACGCTCTGTGAGTAGAGGACATTAAGAAGTTTTTGCACCCCGATAAGCCTTTAAACAGACACAACAATCCAAATCAGACCAAGTTAGAAAAAGCCCCAGTTTAATGGGTAAAGCATTCCTGGGTGATTCTCAGTCCCCCCAGAGAGGAGATAAGGACACGAGAAACCCAAAAACCACGTGTCTGTTTTCTAGGATACAGTTTAAATACTCTGTGGGAGTGGTCTTGCACATCTCTTGGGGGAGGAGCTGTATTTGGCCAGACTTTCTGAGGGGCAGGGTCTGGGCATAGAGTGGGGCTTCCACTAGAACAGACAGAGCTATTCAAATATTGTTTGACCATTTCATGTTTAAAGCAGT